AAAACGCATAACACATACGCATATGAGGGAATGCCACGAACAATTGTTTCCCCTAGAAAAGTTTTTGAAAACGATCGACACATGAACGATTGGAAAAACGGCAATTTGTCTTCTTTGCTCAAATGCATCTTACAAAAACTAGCAGAATCTAAAGAAAACTTTTGAATGATGCCAATGTACTTTGAATTTCATGCTTTTACCTGATCCTCGTATACTTCTCGCATATGGTGTTGGCCACCAGTAATCCGGTAAAGAAGTTACATTTGCCCATGTTACAATCTCACCCAGTCGGTCGATATCTGTTTTGCCAGTTCGAACCCAATAGTCCTCATCTTTACTGTTATTGTACTGCAGAGTAGAGCAACGCAGAAAATCAAATGTAAGAGAATCGCAACAAAATAAAATGCTTACTCCTTGGAAGAATCCCAGCAATGGCATTGGAGGCACTGGGATCGGAATGATGCTCTTCCCTCCATTGAGTGCATCGCTCAGAACAGCAATTATCTTCAAAAGAAAACAGAGGATAGGGACTATTCGACTCTGCTGGCCCACCCCCCGCCAACTAGTTATCAATTCATGATTTAGGTCGTGTATACTAGACAAACTACAAAAGAAAACTCGGAATGAATCCAAAGACTTGCTTAGGAGAAATGGCTATTGCAAGTTGAAAGATCAGTAGGAATAATCCTGTGCTTGAAGTTTCACCGATTTTAAATGGATGCTGTTCTATTTTGTTTTTTGTGCGCCGACACCTTGAAATCGCGTTTCCTTATCGACTTTCATTTCCCACAGTAGTTACTATAAGAATTGTGTTAACCAATTTCTTGTTGGCACTTTGATATAAACAATTAATAGGAAAATAATGTAGTAATGAGGTTTAGGTCATGAGATTCATTTCGATGAAGAAGTGGTTCAAAACGGAAGTTATTGATTGTAGATGAGGAAGGTTTCAAGACATTATACAGTTTACACTCACACATCAAAGTTACTCCTATAGAGTAGGTGATAAACTTTAACCAAATTCATTTTAATCTTTCCGCTTTTATTTTGTGGTGGAATTATTTTCCATAAACAACCTATAAACGAGTCTTCGATATTCCAGCAGTTATATGACGTTAGCACACGAAAAAGCCACTACTGGATATTTTCTTTACTCTGTCTGTGTCTCTTTTCATGTTCCGATCTGCAATCGTTGAGGCAGAGGCGTTGATGAATGTGTTAAATTTCAATAAGTTTCCTTCTTCAAAACAAGTCAAACATGTGCAGCAAAATCGAGACATATACTGTTAAAATGATAAAGGAGGAAGGAGAGCTTACAAAAATAGTATAACGATGCCAACCTTAGCGAAGACTCAATACTACGCATTTAACATACTTAAAACACATCTTTGTATAAGCAGCTCACCTTAGAGTGACCAATGGTTAGGAGTCCATCATTGTATCCATCAAACAGAACCTCTCTGACGGTATGGGATCTGCAA